GGAGTAGATGCTCGTAGGTAAGCTTTTTCAAATAGGTGAGGTACCTCTGAGATAGTTACACATCGCCCTGGATGATGTCTCAGCCACACTTCTGTTTCTTGCGTATAAAATGTACTTAACTGATACATTAAGGAAACATCCAATGGCTGCATCCTATGGCTCGTATGAGGAGGTAGGCAAATTATTGTCACTCCATTTTCACGTGCTTTATCAATAATATCGTGCAATATTTTGTGTATGGGTTTTATGGCCATCCAAGATTAAGAGAGATGGGTTTTCTTTTGATGATTGATTGTGATAAAGAAAATGGTCAAACCATTGTTCAAACAAGTTAACCATCCATCCAACCAGATTTATCAGTAACGACTAAGGTTCCTGGCGGTGCACCCTCTGAGAGCTGCGGCCTCATACGAACTGGGAATTATGATCATAGGAGGAACAAATATTCCACTGGCACTCATACAAATTACAGCAGTAGAAAGCTCCCCTCATGCTGCAGATGTTAGGGTGCCGACCTGTTTTCTACCCTTGACAGCAATCACTTTTGATGGACGATCTTGAACTGTTGTAATCCCGGTTTCGTCAACGTTAAAAATACGGGAGAGTGGAAAGTTCATTATTTCTTGAAGAGGCTCCAAAATGTCAAAAAAAGATGAAACTGCTTCCTTGTTAAAGCCTCGAGCACGTGCAGCTGATGTTGTTTCAGGCAAACGGAGCGAAAGTTTATTCCGTTTCAAAAAATCGCGAAGCCATTCCCACCCTGCCAACTTGGTGTTTTTGTGGAAATGATGATTGATGTTGTTTTTCTCTGCAATCTGATATGCCAAGCTACGGATGGAACGAGTTGTAAGGCCGAACATCATAGTTTCCATATTCTTTGTATATGTTACCAGTTGCTGCTCTAACTCTAGAGGAAATGTAGGCAGTCGGCTCCCGAGTAATTTAGAATGACCTGTTGCGGATTTATTTCTTCCTTTGAACCTTCTTTCCAATGTTGATTTTGGAACTCCATATTTTTTGGAGGCTTTTAGAAATCCACAAGTTCCTTTTTCTAATGCTTCCAGAGCGCTGGCCATAGATTTTTCAGACCAGTTTTGACGTTTAGTCTTTCGTTGGTAATTTCTAGGCATCTGAAACAAAAACAATTCTTCTAAGTTTATTCTTATATTACCCTAAACAAACCAAAATATTTTTTGCCTTTAAAAGTGTTTTAACTATAGAATTTTCACATAAGGGGTAAAACGGGATATCCCACTTTACCCCACATGCTGTTTAAAAAAAAACTTACCTTGTATGCTCAATATGAGTTAGTTCACTCAAAATTTTTTTTCACATTATGCTCACGGCACTACACATCATCTGAGTTCAAAAATTAATTCAAAAACTTGTTTAAAACAAAAGTTGGAGCTTAAAACGTGGAACCCGAAAATTACATCAGGCACCTGTCAAAACACATATGTTGGTCTGAGCACGAGGTCGGGTGTATGAACTACGGCGCGTTCGAACTACAAGCCTAGGCGCATTAGACGAATGTTTTAAGTATTTTTCACTGCGGCTGACGTCATTGGTAGGCCTCTAGAGGCACTATCCCGTTTTACCCAAGTATCCCATTTTACCTCACCTTCCCCTATGTACCCCAAAACTGTGACATGATTTGCTCATCGTATAGTTTGGGATTGAAGACAGAAAGGCAGGCTTCTAAACCAAATATCCTTTCTGTGGGATGGATACCGTTCGTAAGCGCCATCTATCCTGGACGGCAGAAAATGGGACCGTTAAAATATTTTGATTACGTCATTATTCTAGAATTTTTACGGGCTGCAAAAGGAAATATGGCGTTTCATAAGAGGTCAAAAACGGAGGTAGAGGAACTAATAGAACCAAAACACATAGAAAATGATACGTGGATTGACTACCTAAAAAAGCTTTATGCAGAGGAAGAACAAACGACGCTAGAACCGGAAATACCAGAAATTACCACAAATGAAGAACTTAATATAAATGTACAGGAAGTTCGGAAAACACTTGAAACCCTGAAGAACAGAAAAGCGTCAGGTAAAGACGGGATACCAAACGAGTTACTGAAATATTGGGAAACAGCAATGACATAAAAATTAACAACATTAATTAATAAAATTATAAAATACCAGAAGAATGGAGAACGAGCGAACTATTTCTACTATTCAATAAAGGAGACTAAAAACAGCCAGAAAACTACAGAGGTATAAACTTGTTAAATACTACTCTAAAACTTATTTCAAATGCTGATAAATCAGAAGATACGTTGAGCAGACGAACAACAGGGTTTTCGTAGTAGAAGATCCTGTACAGATGCAATATTCGTTATAAAGCAAATTACTGAGAAATCACTAGAGTATAATAGACTACAAGTTCTGTGTTTGATTGATCTAAAGAAAGCGTTTGACAGAGTAAGACTAAAAGATGTAATCCATCTTCTTTATAATAGAGAAGTTCCTCTAAATATTATAAAAACTATCGAAAACATGTACCAAAACAAGAAAATGGAAGTGAGAATAGATGGATAACTTACAGAACCTATAGAAATAGGCAGCGGATAAGACAAAGGGATTCGTTGAGCCCCATGCTCTTCAATTTAATCATGGATGAAATCATCAAAACCGTTAACAAAGGAAGAGGATACAGAATGGGAAACAAAGAAATCAAAATACTCTGTTACGCAGACGACGCAATATTGATGTCCCAAAATGAAGATAGTCTACAAAGACTTGTCCACAGATTTAACATAAGAGCAAATGAATTTAATATGACAATTTCATCTCAGAAAACTTAAACAATAGTAGTCAGCAAAGAACCAACCAGATGTAAAATAGAAATTGTTGGCATCAGTATTGAACAAGTAATGGAAATCAAATACCTGGGAATTACACTGTCTAGCTATGGAGATCTGGACAAAGAAGTGAGAGATCAAGTACAAAAAGCAAATAGACTGGCAGGATGCCTTAATAACACTATATGGCGAAACAGACACATTAACACTAAGGTGAAGTCAAGAATTTATAAAGCCAGTGTAAGATCAATAATGGCATCTGCCTCAGAAACAAGATCCGACACAGCCACAGCGAAAAGGTTACTGAGAACACGCTGAGAGATCGAAAGAGAAGTAAAGACATTAGAACAAAATCTAAAGTCTGTTTTAGACTATAACATAAAATGATATAAGAAAATGTTATAACAAAAACTTACATGAAATGATTGTGTACAATATTAGTACAAGAAGTTTTGTGTATTACATTGTCACATTTTGGTATCAAAATATGTTATATGATTCTGCGCATTACATGCTAAACAGTCCTTTTTTAAAATTATTATGTTGGTGTACATGTACTTTTAACCTCAATGTTCTTATTCTTCTTTGTGTTATTGTAACGTAAACTCATTTTCTTCAACATTTAACCCAGTTTGTTATCCACGTAAATACCTAGTTAGTTCTACCCTCGTTTTACTTTTGCTTTAACAAAGACATAGGTATATATATATTTATTATGGATAAGAAAATTCTCCTATTATCTACTGCATCCATTACAACATTTCTTTTAATTCAGACAAGCAAGAAAAAACGCCAACGAAATATGTGGTCTAGAGCTTGGCTTCAAAAAAGACAGGAAGGTCGTGGTGTTTTAAGTATGTTGTAAACTGAATTAAAAGACAATGAATCTAAAAAATATAGACAATATTTAAGAATGTGTAAGCCACAATTGAATGAACTTCTTGAACTGATTCGAGAAGCGAGAAGATATTACCAAACAGGATACAAAATTGTAACTGCGCATGCGTGTGTACTAATAATTGGTATCAAAATAGGACATGTTCTAATTTCTATACCATTTTTTGTTAACAGATTTTGTTTTCTGTTTTACATTATGACAAAACTTAGTATACCATTTTCTTATATCATTTTATGTTATAGTCTAAAACAGACTTAACGTACATTGTATGAACGAATATACACAAAATAGAAAAAAGAATCGAATAACCTCATTAGCAGAATGCAGGAGACCTGTGACGTCAAAATAGCATTGCATAGCTTTGTGCCCTCCAAAATTAATTGGCAGGACCCTGGTCTACCTCCCACTCTTAGCGCTCCCACTGCCCCTACGAAAGAGATAAGTCACCAATCGGCAGAAGAAGTATCGGACGACCGCACAAAAGATGGAGCGACAACCTTCCATAGAGGTATTAATCCGCCAATGAACCATCAGAATTGCTTATAAAGAGGAAGAATATTCTAGAAACACATCTGTCATTCGCTTTATAGAGACTATGTATTATGTACTATAGTTGAAATTCAAAATGATTGTCGAGGGTATCGCTTAAAATTTATAAACTCTCGAGGAGCCTGAGACGAGAAACGAGTGTAGTCAATGGTGACGTGTATATTTTTAAAATAAGGGAAGTTATTATGAGCACTAATTCATAAGGAACCCTTTACTTAAACTTCTTTAAACATATTGATATTGGAGTAATGATGTACCTATTTATATTTTTAAAATAAAATGCATGACGTCAGCTGCCATTGCAACAACAAACTAAGAATTGAGAGAAATTGTCAAACTAATTAGAACTGAATGGTAATAAAAACATTCTTAGTAGATAAGTGAGCCTGTGATGATAATACAACGGGTCTCAACTTCTTTCAAGTCTAGAAGGAGACGGGATCAAATTACATGGAGGAAACTCGAAATACGCCGAAGTCATAGGCAATGAAAACTACGAGATATTATACTCAATCAAAATTTTAAGTGATAGGAAAATGAAACGCCACAATCATAATTATTATTTATTTCCAATAACGGTAGTTAAAATGGTGTTATACTATTTCATCAATCTTACAACCTTAGTGTCGTGAGTTCCATTCCACATGTAACCATTAAATGTTTTTTGTTTTTAAAAAATACAACAATATAACTTGTCTCATGAGTTTAATTTTATTTAATATATTAATATTTTACCTTTTACAGCCAAGGAAAAAGAAGAAAAAGAGGAATTGCGAAAGAGTTACAGCGATTTCAACGCCCAGTAAGGAATTCCAATAAATTTTTATATAAATATTTTATTTATTGTTATAAGTTTGTTGAAATACTCTTTCTCTCTAATAAACAAAAAAGAGTGCAGGTTATTGTTGTTATTGTTTAACAAAACAGGAGATGAGATCAGTTAAGCCAAGCAGTTCTAAAAGAGATTTAATTAAAAGTATTTATCTTAAGTTAGTACAAGTTAAAAACACCAAAGAAATTTGAAATTTCGTAGTTTTATTGACAGTTTTTCCCATCAGAATGACTATGACCAAGTTGTACTAGAGTTCTCTCCATCCTTCCCCTCTCTCTCTTTCTTTATGCCACTCCCCATCTATCTCGTTTATCTTACACTTGGTTAGTATCATCTTTAATAGCAATGTTTCACCTCAATGCAAATAAATAGACAAAAATAGACATTTCTGTTGAATCTGAAGGTAATGAAGGTTTTTTTATTTTTTAAATTTTGTTATCGACATTCCACTATCTCCCAATTTTTCAATTTTTCTGTATATTTCTTCGACTCTCTCCATAAATGGTCCTTTATCTGATTCTTTTTCTGTCTGTTTATGTTTCTCTCCTAGATTTCTATCCATCTGTCTATCCGTTTCTCTCCCTTCTCCATTTCTGTCACTTCACACCAGATTAGTCAATAATACACGCCTCTATCTCTAAGTTTTACTAATTTATATTTGAAATCATAGTATAAGTATAGTTAATTTATTCTGAGTTGTGGTTGAAAGTTTCACATAAAGAAATACATTTTTCTATCATTTTAGAACTAATTGGTAAGATGTGCAATGACGTAAGGTTAAAAATGTTATTAAAAAGTTAACTTCGGTCAGGTTTTCGATCTGTAACAACTACTCGCTTCTTGTTGATCTTGGAAATTATGTATCTATCTTAAATAAACGAAAGACTTATTAATAATAACAATATTATAAATTGCTTTGTAATCCCTATAGTTTATTTTAAAAGATGTATATTGTAAAATGAATCAATGAATTATATTGTTTAATATAAATGTTGTTTTATCATCTATTTCATAACAGACCCCATTCTGATCCTTATACCGCTTTAGAAATCGAAGAACTGCACAAATACGATTTAACATTGGCTGTTTGATATACTTTTAAATGCGAACAATTGAGAATGTATGTTACAGCGGCAACATTGGATATGTACCAATGAGCCCATACAGAACAGGTTCTTGTCTACTAAATTCCTTCGATAGACGAAGAGATGGAGATTTGAAATTTGAATATTATTTGAAATAGTATTCAATAAAATGGAAAATAAATACGCCTAATAATTGTATCTGATCTAAACTTTGTCAAACTAATTTCAAAATTGTATTTTTTCAATTTAAAAAAATATATTTGAATTTATTTAAATTAATATTAACATTTTTTATGTCAATCGAGATACGAACAAAATACAAAAGAAAAAATTGATAACAGTAGGAATAACACAGGGCAGTGTCCTTGGTTCACTCCTTTATCTTAGGCACAGCTGACCTTCCAGCTAGCAACCCAACAACCATAGCTTAATAAAGCAATTATGGTCAAACACAAAGACGTAGTACTAACAGCAAGACTATTCCAACAACATCTCATGGAAATACAGGAAGGGGCACGAAAAAAATGAGAATTAAGCCAATAAAATAAAATCAGTGTAGGTTATCTATACCAGGTATAGAAGAATAGTTAGCCTCACCTATTACACTAAATGATCGAAACCTACCTTAAGTTGGGAGCGCCATGGATTGCACCATTTGGGGATGAACCTGGACTGAGGGTTAACCTGGAGAACACATATCCTTAACTAAAGAAAACAAATATGCCTGAAATTCAGCAAACAATATTGACTCCTCGGAAGATAAAAAAAACTTTAGTTTAATAAACAAACTCTTGGAATATAAAGGAGCCTTCAAACTAATATGAATGTTCTATGGGCATACCTTCAAATTATAACATAGCTATTTAAACGTTTCCAGTTGAAGCTTCTACGTATTATAACAAATACATCTTAGTTCTTTCCAAATAGTAAAATCAGCGATCATTTTTAAATTGCTCTAATAAAAACGTAGACATTAAATACAACGGGCCGATACTTAAAAAAATTAGAAGGGCACCCAAATGATGTTGCATTAAACCTGCTAGATAAAAGTGAGCATAAAGACGTTGAACAGAGCAAATGTCAACCATGAAATAAAATATTTAGATTTGGCAGTGTTGGGATGTTTTTATAATTCATATGTTGTATACTTCAAATATAAAGAGAGAAAGCTTTTGAAAAGTACATTATACTATTTTATAAATTCTGCAATTTTTGATTTCTATAAAACAATAACGAGTAAATATTTGTCTCTTTCGAGATTAATTGCAAACATCTGTTACAATCTGGCAACTGCTGATTTGACGGTTGCCAAATCTATCCCCGAATCTATCAAAGGGCAATTTCCAAAAAAATTTCTAATTAATTAACAGCAACTAATCTTCAAAGAAACAAATATTTAGTCATTCTTGTTTTATATAAATAAAAAATTGCAGAATTCATAACACAATATAATCAAAATGTACTTTTCTAAAGCTTTGTCTCTTTATATTTGAAACATACAACATATACATTATAAAAACATGCCAACACTGCTAAACCGAAATTTTTTGTCCCATGTTTGACATTTGCGTCTATAATCAGCTTGTACTTTCGGTAAACTCAACCAAATCATGTATTGCACTTTTTTAATCTTTATTTTTGGTACTTATTTTCTTAATATGCTCATTCTTGTATTTATTATTGAATTTATGGTGTGGTGATGGTTTTTTAGATGTTGAAAGCACACACTCAAAAAATATTGCAAATGAGTACTCAAAATGAACAGGAGCGAGATTTAACTAACACTACCACAGAGTCTTTATTGTCGTAAGACTTCTATAATTTGGATAGCATGACCAAGCATGATAGCTTAGCTTCTCAATCTGCTTCTGCTTTTTTTTGCCAATAGGGACATGGATTGTGTTGACAACGTGCAGCCTCGTATAGAAAAAATGTTTAACAGTGAATACTTCAACGACAGTATTATGTTTGTTAGTCAAAGTTGTGTCCATAATAATATGCAGACAGTTGATAATGTTGTACTTGAAGAGATTTACTCACTCAATAATGAAAATTACAGTCAACCATTATTTAACGTTGACGCGAACACCGAAAATATGGTTAATCCTATTGAACCAATTACATGTAGCATTAATCAAAATGATACATTATTAATATTGAGTAGTGATTTAGTCATTGATATGCAAGAAGAAGAGCTAACGACTCCTTCACCTATACCTAAAATCGCAACTGCCTATCCTGAATTCAAAAAAAACTAGTTGATTACAGTGAATCTAATGAACCTGTTATCAAAAGAAAAAAAACGGTGCCAAGTAGAGAAAGACCAATGAGTTAGTGAAAGGAATCAAAAGAATATCGAAACGGGTAAAGGATACTGCGAAAACATAGAGATAGGAAAGATCCAGAAAAATCCAAGAGAGTTATTACTTTTATTTACCATCTAAAAAAAGGCGGACATATGATCAGAGTCTGTAAAACGTTATTCCTAAACACTTTTTCCATGTGTAAATCATGTATTTGGGGTTGGAAGGTTCAAACTACAGAAAAGAATACCAGGGAACATTTAATAACAAAATTTATAAGATATCCATTTGATGAACAAACTAAAACTTTGCAGGACTTTTTAGATGATTTGCCCATAATGTGGTCCCATTATTGAGAATAAGGACAACACAGACATATATAAAATCGATCATTTCATCCAAGCAACAGCTTTACAAAATGTACACAGATTATTGTGAGTCAAAAAACAAAAAGACATCTATTGCTTCTGTTACAAACATTCTTACAATACAATATCTCTCTTTAAACCAAAGAAAGACTTATGCGAAATTTGTAATGGATACACGTTGGCTCATACTAGAAAAGAAATTTATGAAGAGCACACAAGTAAAAAAAAATGAAGGAAGAATGAAGAAGGAATCTGATAAAGAAAAGAAAGCTGTCCTTTTGGCGCCACGCTTCAGCGTATTTAAATTTGTGCAATTATGATATAAAGCATAGTAATGGATATTGCTTTGTGTGGAATGAGGCTGAAAGAGCATTGAATTCTGATGAATTTACTACGATTTTGGTAAACTTTCTTATGGACAAAGTAATCCTAAAAATGGGAGAAGACAACAAGCTGATGGGTGTTGTTATCAGAACCGAAACGTCACTTAAAGCAACGCTCTCTTTAACTTAGCTTTGTTACACAATTTGACTATTGAACAAAAATATTTGGAAGTGTGTCACATACAGATGGAAGTCGTCAGTATGCACGCAATGATAGAGAAAAAACTTAAAAATTAAATAATTAATTTTCCAGCTGAGTACATTACCATTTGCAGGAGTGCGAAGAAATCAAAACCTTACACAGTTAAATACTTAAACTATTCCTACTTCAATAAATTTAAACAGCTAAATTTTTACAACTCCATAAGACCAGGAAAACTGAAGGGAGATCCTAAGGTATTGCTATTTAGTAAATCGTAATCATTATTTTTTACTATATTGGATCGGTGTTTTTAACTTCATTTTTTAGGTACCGAAATTCGGGCTCTCATGTATACACCCTCTGAAGAAATATTTTATAAGCTTAGATTTTCTCAGGACTATAAATTACTCAACCAGCGGAAAAATTCTAGAATAAAAAATACAATACCGTTTCAAGATTTTTCAAATTTGTACCCTAAACGCAGAAAAATTGCAAGAAAGAAATACTTAGATTTACAGTAACTAAAGAACTTAATGCCGAGAGATTACCATAAGTATTATGACGACCTTTCCCATGAAGACTGGAAATACGTTATAAATCATAATTATAAGTATAATTCCGTTTGTTTTGTTTTAATTTAAACCTCTTTTATAATTATCAATGAAAATATTTTGTATAGTAATAGATATTCGTCAATAAATCTGAAATATATATGTACTATGGCGTGTAAAATAAAAGTAAAGAGAGAAAAAAATCTTAGGAAGATGCAATTTATCCCAACTCGATAACGTAAGGAAATGTTATGGTTGTATGTCATTGTAACTCTTTAAAGACCAAATCTTATCAAAGTCAAACTAGTTATATCTCTCAACTTTCTTTAAAACAATAAACCAAAAAAAGAAGCTTAAAAATATTAAAATACATTTATTACTTACAATACAAGACAGACTAAACTTAAAATTAGTATTTCACAAACTAAGGACACACTGGATTGCCAACCCTTCCAGGAAACGCCAAAGAGTCTACAGCATGTATTCTGCAAATGTCTCTGTAACTATTACCACCTCCAGCATTGTTACTTCTGCCGTAATTTCGTCTTTGGGGATAGTAGTAGCCGGTATTTCTATTCTGATATTGGTATCCGTTGTTTGCACTATTACTGTTATACCCAAAAAGCTTCCATGCAGTTTGTGGAGCGGCTACGCTAGTTTCGAGAAATATCAATAGTACGGCGAGTGCAAGCAGCATTAAGACCTTCATTTTGATTTAAAAAGTACTTGTTGTTTGCGAGATACGTACTGAACAATGAAGATAATTTGTTAATACATTATTTATATGTACATACGGAAACATAGGCGGGTGCGAACAAAAAAGGGAAATAAACCCAATAAGTTTTCATTGCTGTTGATGATCGACGATGAAAATAACTAGTTATAAATAAAATCTGAATGAATATTGAATACACAAAAAGGAGTTTAGGTACTATTCAGACAAGTGTCCAAAATTTATATATTTAAGAGAAAACGTATACAGTAAAGTTAGAAGGCCAATTTTTTCACGTTTAAGTATTTTGTACAACTACAAAACATGAGTAATCAACATCATATAAATAAGAATAGAACATTCGAAATATAATTAGATACTGCAAGGCACTGTTTGGAATTAACGTACTTGCTCAAAGATGTCGAGATATATCTGTGGACATA